CGGCGAAACAGCGGGCCCCCAGTGCCAAGTCTGGCCCGGGCACAGCCATTATCTTTTTTTTTTTTTTTTTTTTTAACACAGCCATTATCTGGCTGAGGCTGCCAGAATATCTCCGGGTTGAATTGTGAGGTCCCCGGCCTCGTCCCATCAGTTTATTTGCAATAAAATCTTTCAAGCTTTCCAAAAAAAAAAACAAAAAAAAAAAAAAACATGAGGAATGCGCAGTATTCGGGGCGGCATCGGCCAAGCTATCAGCACGCCGTTGGATCCTCTTTGTAGATCAGAAGTCATTATTCTCGTTGCAGCCGGATTTCTACTGACGTCTGCATTTTTTCAACAGTTGCATGGGTGCATCCACTGAGGCAGGGCACGTACTGGGTTGCATGCATTGGGAACATCCCAGTCCCAGAAGAATGTCGCGAGAGGAATGAATCTTCGACGTGAACATGGCAAGATACACAGCGGAACGTTTTTGTCTTTTGTGCATGTGCTGAGTTACGTACAACGTAGCGAGGCCGTAAGCAAATCGACACGGTTGCATGCAGGCTGACCAAAAGCCACGTGCCACGTGCAGCGAGCAAAATAGAAGAACCTATACCTGAAACGCGCCACACGTGAGATTGAGGAGCCCTCGTGCTTGAGGGGTATCTGGAAGCATCAACGTGCTGCCTCGCTAAACAAACCACTACTGAAAAAGAGGGGGGGGGGGGAACTGAAAAAGGGAAAAAAAAAAAAAAAGGCACCGCAACGCAGCGGGCTGCTATGTACTTGTATTGCAACATGCGCCGCGCGACAACGACAACGACGCTGCAAAAACAGCTTGCGCGTTTCTTCCGGTTTCCCTTGGGCCCACACCTTGTCCCCGCCCGTTTTCCCAACACTGGGAGGCTGGCCTCGCGGGAGCACGGGAGCGTCATGCGAGACCCGCTATTAAGAAAATAAAATATAATATAATATGTATATATATACCGCTCAACCTACATCCACGTGGGCGGCCTTGTACGCAAGAGGTTCTGAACAGGGGGAGTCTTGTAAGGAAGAAGATAAAAAAACGAATTAAGTTTTTCTTGTTTTTCTTGTTTTCTTTCTGTTTTTCGCTTTGGCGCTCTGATATCATGTGACAATATATATCTAAGGAAGAAGATAAAAATTCATTTTTTTCTTTCTTTTTTTTGTTTTTTTTTCGCTTTTGCGCTCTGATATTCTTGTGACAATAGATAGATAGATAGATATATAGATAGATAGATAGATAGATAGATAGATAGATAGATATCGTCACATGAAGATCAGAGGGCAAAGGCGAAAAAAACAGAAGAGAACATGGAAAAAACAATTCGGTTTTTTATCTTCTTTCGTATATATATCGTCACAAACAGAACTGCCCGGTAAACCGTAGGCAGAGAGAGAGAAGAGGACAACAAACGAGGGGCTGTGACAAACTGTTTCGTCGGAGTTTCACCGACTCATCA